CATCTGGAAAATGATGAATATAAAGTTTAAAACATAGAGCTAGCAAAATTGAGCTGCGATTTCGAGCAAATGAAGTTAAATCAATAGTGACGAATAGAAATAGAGGTAAATGAGAGACGTTTACATCGTTATCAGATGCAGTAAGTTCTCCTTCTTCTTTGCTTCCTGAGGAATAATTGTTGTTCAGAAACGAAGATTCTCCTCTTCCTCCTCGTTCCTCGGTAGGTTTTTTTACCGAATGCTCTACGACCTGTTTCTTCTCTTCGTCGGCATTCACCATTTGAGCCCAATCTCTCTCTCTCTCTCTCCCCCGCGCGCCCTCTAGCTTTCTCTCTCCTATTGCAATGGCGGTTACGGAGGGAAACTGTGGCTGACGAAATTGGAGGGCGAAATTCTGAAAAGGGAATTTTCGGTGATGAAATTTTGAGTATTTAACAAATAGCGGTATTTTTCTCATACTATCCTTAGTATTTTCTTCGTTCTAATTTATGTGACACTATTTTAATTTTAAAAAAATAAGTTTTGTAGTATAAAATAACTCGTATATATTTGTGTCTTTACAAATTATTTCATTAAAAATAAAATTCTTTTTGAAACATACTAAAAAGGAAAGATACACATAAATTGAAAGAAATGACGTATTAAAAAATTATATAAAGTAGTAATTCTAGAGTCGTAGTAATCAAATTTAAAGTTTGAAGTAGGGGTGTTCGTGGTTCAATTTGGATCGGTTATTGATTAAAATCAAAACCAAACAAATTTAGTTGATTTTTTAAATTTCTGAAATCAAACCAAACCAAACGAAAAAAATAACCGTCGATTTGGTTCGATTCGATTTAGTTTTTTTGGTTTATCCGATTTGAAAATACTAGTAATTTTTTTGAGGACTTACGTCGATAGACACAAACATCTAGCACATAAACAATCCACATAAAAGTTATGGTCGGTTCAATTAAGCAATTAAGCATTACACAAACAAAGTGTTTCAATTAAGAGAAAGTGTGACTATTTTATGTGAAGTATGGTATGTAAAGACAAATGGATTTTAATGGACTTAGAGCCTGTTTGAATGGGTTTTTAAGCTGGTCAAACTGGCTTAAAAACCAGTTTTTGACTTATTAGAGTGTTTGGCAATTATCAAAGTGACTTATTTTAAGTCAAAAATGACTTATTTTAAGCCAAAAGCTAAAAGCTAGGGGAGGGGAGCTTCTTTTTTTTAACTTAAAAGTCTTTTTATGTTGACCAAGTATATTACCCTTTTGCCCTTAATTCTTTTATACAATTTCCAAATTGCCCATATTGAATTATTATTATTATTATTTTATTATTATTATTATTTTTAATTATTATTACTATTATTTTATTATTATTTTTTTTTTAATTTATTTTATTTTTATTATTATTATTATTATTTTATTATTATATTATTATTATTATTATTATTATTATTCCTCTTATAAATAATTTGTGGTGGTAAAGAAATATGTGATATTTTATTATTATTATTATTATTATTTTATTATTATCATTACTATTATTATTATTTTATTATTATTATTATTTTATTATAATTATTATTTTATTATTATTATTATTATTAATATTATTTTATTATTATTATTCCTCTTATAAATAATTTGTGGTGGTAAAGAAATACGTGAATGATAGGAAAATATTATTACTTATGGATGTAAAATATAAATTAATTTTGTTTTAATTTTTTTTAAAGTATAAAAACCTTAAATTAATCAACTTTTCATCATGTTAACAACTTAAAGGATATTTCAGACATTTTGATAAAAAAAAGTGTTTACCAGCACTATTTGCCAAACACATCAACAACTTTTTTTCAACTGCAATACTTTTATCCAAACACATAACTACTTATTTTAAAAATAAGTTCCAGCACTTTAAAAAGTTACTTTTTAAAAGTTACTTTTTTTAAGTCAATCCAAACGGGCTCTTAGACTTATGATTGTTATAGTTGGGCTAAAGTGTTGAGCTTGAGAAAATTGTAAAGTTAAATATTTAAGTTAATTAAAATATTCATATTTTAATTGTGAATAATATATAAATAATTATAAAATATCTAATTTATCGGTTCGATTTGGTTATTTTTGCGGGGTGTTTTTGTAAAATCAAAATCAAACCAAATAATATCGGTTTTCAAAATTTAAAATCAAACCCAACCAAATATCGATTTGATTCGGATTGCAGTTTGATTTGATTTTTTAACCATAACCATGAACAACCCTAGTTTGAAGTATCATTAAAAGGGTCAATATACTTTTTAAAATGCATATTTAATTTTTAAAAAATAGGAGACATAATAAGCTAATATGGATCAACTAATATGAAATGGAGGAATAGTTTACTTAATAAATTTACGATTATAAGATTTAATAATATTTTACTTCCTTCGTTTCTATTTATATGCCGTACTTGCTAAAAATAGATGTTCATTAATACTTGTCATATCACAAACCAATGCATAAATAAGACTATTCTTCCAATTTTACCCTTGAAAGTGACTAGTCATAAAATATATATTTGACCAATATTAAAAGACTAACTTGATTAATTCGTATTCATCTTACACTCTAAATAAAGGTATATTAGTAAATTACTTAATACGTAAAATCAAATAAATAGGAACAAAAGAAGTAATATGTTACACACTTTGATGTAAAGAGATATGATTGAAATTTCCTTAAGAGGTTTGAAAGGTCCATACTCCATAGAGGAAAAATTTTATTCTGGGCGAGGCACAAGTATGATGTGGCAAACAAGAGTTGTAAGAGGCCCATTTATATTTTGCCAATTGGATCACTTTCAGAAAAAGGGGACACTCCTCTTTCTCTCTCTTCCTTTTAACGTTTTTTCCCTTTCTTACTTCTTTTACTTTTTTTTTTTCCTTTGGTTTCTTTTATAAAATGTGGGACCCATATGTACTTATTTCCCTACTTTTTCTTTTCTAATTTTAATCTTTACTTTTATTTTTTCTTTCTTACTTGCATTTTCCTTTTTGCTTGTTAATTCTTAGTGTAAATTTTATTTTTTATTTTTTGTTTTAATAAAGAAACTTTGAAACTCACACACGGTATCTATTATATATTTTATATCTCTATTACTATTTATTTGAGGGGAAATTAAAGTAATATGTCAAAAAAATTAAATTTACTTATTTTTGGATGAATTCAAGAAAATTGAGGATAGTGAAATTAAAAAAAAATATTAGTGAAAATTCATGTAATCAACCCATTGAACTAATTAGTTTATGCTTTTCTTTTTTTACGTACTGAATTTTGATTTAAATTTATGATCATTATATAAGTTTTTAGTTTATTATTTTAATATTATTTTTTCTATTCTATATTATTTATTTTATTATAATAAATAGTTGTTTGAAATTTATTTTTTAGTTTATAAAATCAAGATATAAGTAATTTTTTTAATCCTAACAATTAATTTTTTTATAATTATAAATAAATTTTGTAAAATTGCAAAAATTCTTTCAAGGAATAAATTATTAAAAATATTATTTATATTTATAATTTCTAAAAACATGTAAGAAAAGTAGATAAGCAAAATATTTATTAAATTTCACCTATCTTGATTTTTAAGAATAAAAATATGGTATAAATTGACGAAAATAATATGTATTTATGTTGGTGTTTTTGGATGTTTTTCGTTTTTGAATTTCATGACAATAGTATCAAAACTTAAGTAATTGTTTTTCAAGATCATTGATGTTCTTTCCGTTTTAGTTACTTATTGAAGAGTATTTGTGGATTGAAGTGTTTTTGGATTATGAAATTGTTGGTTTAATTCTATCATGTTGCGTTTCATTTAAACACAAAATATAAATTATTTCATTAGTTAAATTATTTATTGTAGTGACTAGTGAGAATGTACATTATGTTAGCATTTATTAATTGAGAAAAGGTTCTATACAAACTTGTGGTCCCTCCGTCTCATATTATTAAAAATATTTTTCCGGAATTTTTTTTTTTTTTTTTTAGATAATTAAAATAGAGTGTATTAAGAAGAGTTACAAGGCAATTAGTAATTATTTTTCTACTTATTCATAGTTTCTTTAGTAAAGATGTGTATAAAAAGAAAAGTTTCACATGGACCCCACAATTATTTTGCAATTCCCACTCAAACTTTACATTCTCTCTCCTTTTGGTTTCATTTTTCAACCTTAACTAATGGTTTGGGCCCCATGATCCACATGTCAAAAAATGGATGGAGCCTCTTCCAACTTTTGTTGGTTGGGCCTCTACCATAGTAAAATTTTTCCTCCATAGAGTAATCACGAAGCACTCTTGTTCATGCTTTCTTATTATTCCAAAAATATTAATAATATTATATTCCAAAATAGTTGTCTTTTAAGATTTTAACAAGAAATCGATTTTATTCTTTAAATTTTACCCTTACTTAATCAAGCACCCATCAATTAGTTTTTTTTTTATTATAGATATAAATAAGTAGAAACACTTGCAAATTTTCAACAAATGAAAATTTTCTTCAAGTATATGTCCAAATTAATAACAACTCTTAAGTTTGAAACACAAAAAATGTGAGAAAATAAATCATTGGTGGCTGCCCTTGTGTAATACCCCTTTAAAAGGCAAAGCCATTTTCAATGTATTGATGAATTTGGTATGTTCCTCTATGAATTAAGCCTTGTTAAAATGGGCTAAAGTTCTTCAATTCGTTGGAAAAGCAAAACAAATTCATAGATGCAGGAAAAGATCAAACTTTGGTTCAAAACAACTAATTAAACAGTTTCTCATTATCAAGAGATGAAAAGAACCAATTTTGAAGCAATTGAAACACAGAAATAAGATATATTTTCCACAAAATAAAACCATTCTTCACATTCATAGGCATAAAACGACCAAATTCGAAACACAGAAACAAGATATTTCATAGATTCAGAAACATAACCAATTACATCAACAAAACTAAAATACTACTAATACCCAGTAACCCAGATCTAAAGTCTTAACCACCGAAACCATAGAGAGTCCTTCCTTGTCTCTTCAAAGCATAAACAACATCCATAGCAGTAACAGTCTTCCTCCTAGCATGCTCAGTGTAAGTAACAGAATCACGAATCACATTCTCCAAAAAGATCTTAAGAACACCTCTTGTCTCTTCATATATCAACCCACTGATTCTCTTCACTCCACCTCTTCTCGCCAACCTCCTAATAGCAGGCTTGGTGATTCCTTGGATGTTGTCACGAAGCACTTTGCGATGACGTTTTGCTCCACCCTTGCCTAATCCCTTGCCACCCTTTCCACGGCCAGACATTTTTTGAGAAGTTTTGAGAGATAATTCAGAGAGAAAAAGAGAGATTTGATGATGGAGAAGTGAGCTGAGCTAGGGTTTATATAAAGGGGGACATTTTTTGGAGGGGGTTGAAATATTTTGAGCGGAAGATATTGGCGGTTGATGAATTTCTTCGAAATTTGAAATGGACGGCTTAAGATTGCGATCCGCGTGATTGCTTATGGGTTATTGTGGACCGTTGATTAAGTGGAATTCAACAGATTGTAATTGTTTTGTTCTCACATGGATCGATGACGTGGATTGTGCTTACCAGCTCAAATTAATTTATGATTAGTCAAATTTGATACTACTTCATCAACTTTATAATTAATAGGGGTAAAAATGGTAAACTCACTATGTTAAAAATTATTTTCTTAATAGGTGTCAATTCAAAAGTGAACAAGTAATTAGGTACAAAGGAAGTATGTTAGACAGGTAGTAATTTTTCAAATTCATTTTCTTTCTTTTAAAAAAAAACAAGTGATTGTTATGATAAAGAAAAAATGATGTGTAACAACTAAAATTATACTCATTATTCATCGAGAGCATGACCTTAGATATAAGATTATGTAGTTTGAGGATTAGAGTAAAAAATTAGTAGTTAATAGATAGTTGAATATTATTTATTTTTTCTTAACAATATTGTTATTATTACTATCGTATTAGATTATTCTTTATTCTTGTATTAGTTGTTATTTCCCTCGATTCGGCTATTGTATTATATGTTGTTTCTACTATTCTCTTTTTATTTGTTTTTAGCATGAATTTTTTATTATCTTGTGTTGTTAATGTATTTTTCACCATTGTTTCCAACATGATTTCTTTACTATTTGTTTCCTTTTTTATATCTGATGAGATATGTTTTACTTAAATAGAGGGGTATTGGATTTAGTGTCTCTAGCAACACAAGATAGGAACAAGATTGTGTACGCATTTTCCTATCTAAACTCCATTTGTGAAATTATAATGATATATATTGTTGTTATTTTTAGTTCTAAATCTTAATGATTCAAATCTTAATTATTAAATATGTTTTTTTATATTAGTTATTCAAATTTATTTAAACTTATAAAGTGATTGTAAAATAGAAGGATCAAAGGGTTATACTAATCACAATTAACCTCTTGATAGTGTGAATTTGTATGTGTTGGTCTGTCGGTTGCAACATTAGTCCTGCAAGAATATTACAAGTCTCTCAAGTTATGCGACGGACCATCACACCTGTGAGGTTGTGATTTGTGACAAACCGTCAAATGCTAGCTCCGAATTTCTACTTTCTGTTTTTATATTTCAAATTTCCAAGAACTATAAATATTATTTTAGGATTTTATTTTATCTTCTTTGTTTTATAATGATGAAGATGATATCACTTGAACAAGAATTTTCATCGGCTTATTCAAATCAAAGTATTGATTGTCTTTAACTCTTGTAAATAATTACTTCTTGAATGAATGCAAGTCTATTCCTTGTTTCATTAATCATGAGTGACTAAACTTCACAACCAAGAATTGTGGAATCCATGATGATTTGATCTAAAACTAGAGTTTTTACGGAATAAATCGCGTGTTGTATCAATATACCTTATAATCTCCTTCATTTTAATTGACCTCTAATAATTGCAAACATTAAAACTTGCCCTAAGTATAGCTTGTTTGAGTAAAAAGGCTAAAACCTAAAAGAAGAGTTAATAACAATAATTCGAGGATCTAGACTCGTCCAATAGTTAATGTCATAACAAGATTAACCAACTTGAGAATCTATCTATCGAAATGATGGTGAACACTTTTAGTTTGAAGAATATAAGTGATATACATTTGATTTGGTTGAGAAGCGATATAGTGTAGGTTAAATTTGATCGACATAATAACAACGCAAGATGAAGTTTTGTAATTAACGCATGAATGATCAAACAGTCTTGGTGAACACAATCCTAATTAATTCTCTTTGATTGATTCTAATTAAATGATATTGTTAATTGTTATTTATCGAAAAGTGAACTTTAGACCAAAATAAAAAATTCTCATATTTCCCATTATGTTTCGGAAATAAGTAACTAAAGTAAATAACTGCATACGACTTAGTTTACGTATTATTTCCCGTGGGATTTGACCTCAACGTAGTTGTGTTCTATATTTGACAACGGCCGCTTTATACTTCTTAATTGAGGTGTAAATTTGGGCCTATCATGTATACGAATAATATCAAAATATGATGTATTAGTAATGTTGGAATTAGAAATATTGATATTAATTATATTGACGTTCGTTATGTTGAGATTGTTTCATAATGTAATGTTTGATAATTGGCTCATTGAGAATAACATGCATTACATAATTGCTACAAAAATACGGTGGAAAGGATGTGAATTTTTTTTTGAGGAACGATTGTGTCTTTATTCATACTAATGCATATCCTAAAAAACATTAATATTGTATTGCTAATATTGTAAATTGTTATGTATTAATTATACATAGCACAATACCTTAAAGTCTACCAAATAAAATATTAGTAATACACAAAGTTAATACATACATTATTGTAATACATCTTACCAAACGACCCCTATAAGTATGAATAGAGAAATAATATTTTTATTGAGTGATTCATTAATGACTTGATGAACATCATAACCAGAAAATCGTGCTGGAGTTTGTTACAACTTGAGAGCTTAAACAACAATTGTGATGAAAATTAGATGAGATATAAGTGAGGGAAAATAGTTTTACTTCTTCTAATTCTAAATTAACATTTTCCTAATCACGCCTGTCACAACAATCGTTATTCACACATCTCTCAAATTACACATCCCAATTTGTAATTGTCATATTGAATATGAATTCCCTAGATTCGATTGGTCTACGAAACTTATTGTATTGGGTCATCGATGATGGACTGGACATCTGAGACTATCTCGTACTAATGTAGCTAGTCAAAGTAAGTCTGAAATTAGTTTTCTTGGCAATACCTTGATTTACCCAATAATATAGTCCTTACTGACTTGAATCTAACTAGATTTGTTCTGTCACACGTTTATCCTCTGAGTCATCCACACATCTAGACCATATTTTACCAAAACAACTAGATACTACAAGCAACTATAATCATTAGCCAACATCATCATGCATAACCAACATCCACACGACTTCATCATTGTCAAATACTCCTAAATTAAAGCACGAGAAAATTCCATGAATTGTTAATGGTGCTAAAAACTCTTAACATTTTTTCACTTTAAGATATGAAAGTTTAAGTTTCATGGATTGTTTTTATTTTTAAAAAAAATTATGGATTGTTATGGAATTTGAAACGTCAATACTACAACACATTGTCAATGCTCCTAACTCGTTGTTTCATGTTTTTCAAATATTATTTTCGTATTAACAATACATATATTTAATTATATTCGAAACAATTGATAAACTTTGATTGATGATTCCAAAAAGGGCAAGTTACATTTGACCGATCGACTAAAAATAATTGCATTCGCTAGCCAAGTATATAAAAATATAGAAAATTGTATATATCCTAAATTAATGTACAAAAAATTATATTTGTTGGACGACTATTTTATACCAATTTCTCTTTAAAAAAATGAAGGCACGCCCACCGTGGGGCTCGAACCCACGACCACAAGGTTAAGAGCCTTGCGCTCTACCAACTGAGCTAGACGGGCTTTTGTCTTTTATACCCACGTAATCGATACTAGACTTGAGGCATCTTGTAAGCTTCGATTTTACGAAGTTGTCCACAATTTGACACATAAAGATAAAAGAAACACATATACGAAAGATATTCGATAATCATATATTAAAATTGACATCAAAATGCATTTATATATAGCACAAAGTCATGCTGCAAATGTAATAAGATAGTGAGTGGAAAAACTGAGTATAATGAAAACATAAAAAGCCTCTAGTGTGTCCATCACTCAAAACCAATAATAGCTCATTTCTTTCGGGAGATACCGAGCCTGCTACGGAAATCGTCCTCCATAAGGGGAATACCATCGCTCAATTTGATCGTTGGTTCCCATCCGAGTAGTGATTTTGCCTTTGTGATGTCCGGCTTTCTCTGGCGAGGATCATCTGGTGTATTTTCCACTGTGATAATCTGCACATCTGGATTGATGAGCTGCAAAACAACAACAACTATAGTCAGAGACGGATTCAAGATTTTAACTTGATGGATTCAGCATTGGACTCATTATATATATCATGCTCCGTGAAGTTACTGGGATTTGGATGAACTTGTAGACGTGTCATGTGAATACATAGTCGAGGCAAGTTCAGTGGATTACCTCTTTCACATTCTCAGCAAGTTCAAGCATTGTGAATTCACCTGATTGCAAGAAGATGAGTTGTTTTAGTTGAGTAATAAAATTGGAAGAATTGAGTTTTGATTGGACACGCCAAGAATCAAATCAACGGAAGCTAACCTGGATTCCCGATGTTAATTGGTCCAGTATTATCTCCCTCCATCAGACGAATAAGACCATCAACCTTCATCGTTCAGAAAGGAAGGTAAGAAAAGAAGATGAAACATAATATGAACTTCAAGTATAGTGGCTCATAGACTGTAATATACCATGTCGGAAACATAACAAAAGCTGCGAGTTTGTGTTCCTGGCAACTGAACAGTCAAGGGTTCGTCACTGTGAAAATGTACAAAGAAAGGGTAGGCAATTAGTAATTCTCACAATGTAAGATAAATATGGAAGGGTAAGAATGATAACGAGGTTCAGAATATTACCGAATTGCCTGGGCAATGAAATTGCTGACAACACGGCCATCATCTATGTTCATTCGTGGACCGTACGTGTTGAAGATTCTAGCAATTCGTATTTCTGGAGATGCAAGACAAATTCTTCAGAATGCAGAACTTTACAAAAGAAAACTGAATAGGTTTGAAAGAAACATATGTGTAGGAAGTGCTATACCGATTCCATGCTGCCTGTGATAATCAAACATCAAAGTCTCAGCCACTCTTTTCCCCTCATCGTAACAACTCCTAACT